TGACTGGATACTGGTTAAATATACAAAAATTAATAGCCTTTCCCTATTTTACCAATAAGTACTTAGAAATGGGAAAAACATTCCATTAACAATAAAAGATTAGAACTTGAATGATTTTAAATGGAGCTTATGCTCTCCGATTCACCGTAATCCCCACCACTCTCTATTTTCCTACACCTAGACCATTTTCTGCTGAAGGAATCTGAGTTTACCACCTCTGAATCTAAACAGTGGTATGCTGGAGCTGGCTCATATCAGCTCACCAGAGCCAGTTGTTACATTTAAATGAATTTTATGAGCTGGTTGTTAATAGTTGGTAGCGTGAAAGAGACCATGGTTAGGAGTATTTACACACAAAAATTGACAACTACAAATCAAGGCTTCCCTCCCTGCATGCCCCCCCAGAACCATTTTACCAGCATGTCTCTGAATATAACCCTTCGCTTTATAGACCCAGGTCCAGAAAGGGGAGAGATTGTGCAAGTTCACTAAGCTAGTTATAGCAAATGTGGCCCTCTGACTCCTACTTTAGTGCTCGCTCTTTCTGTCCCACCATAAAAAAGGCAGCATGCTGACTATGAATTAGACATGCCTATAAATGGCACGCAGAAATATTATCACAGAAGCCCCAGTGTCCTGGAAGGTGCATCCTGGGAGAGGCAGATTTGGCAGTGAAGTTGCACTTTGGGTATCAGAGGACTGCAGTCTTTTAATGTTGCTCCATTTAGGAAAATGGTGGGTGATGGATCTCATAGCTTTCCACTCTTCCAGGTGACCAGACAAGAAACAGCCATGGAGAGTAATCCAGAAGATGGGGCCTACATAAAAGGGCTCTTTTTAGAAGGTGGCCGTTGGGACAGGACAACGATGCAGATTGGGGAGTCTCTCCCCAAAATCCTGTATGACCCACTGCCCATCATTTGGCTGAAACCTGGGGACAGTACCATGTTTCTGCATCAGAACATTTATGTATGTCCGGTTTACAAAACAAGTGCTCGAAGAGGCATCCTCTCCACCACAGGCCACTCCACCAACTATGTCCTCTCCATTGAGCTCCCAACAGACAGGCCCCAGAAGCACTGGATAAACCGAGGGGTAGCTTCATTGTGCCAGCTGGATGACTGATAGCATCTGTCTCAATTCAGAAAATAAAAAGCACTTCATTCTTGACTACCTCCTAGTTTTCCTTTCTTGAGAGGCACATGGTATGAGATGATGGTGATGATGATATTAATAGAGCACTTGCTATCAGCCAGGTATTTCAGAGCAACCCTATAAACTGAGTATTGCTATACTCATTTTATGGCTGCAGAAACCATATACAGAGAAGGTAAGTAATTTTCCCCAATCAGATAGCTACTGAGTAACGGAGTCTGGATTTTAACATGGGGAGTGGGACTCGACAACCAGGAGTTTCCATTTGAGTAAGCTCCCTTGAGGTTATTTTTTTCCCTGTTATTTTGCTATAACTGCCATTGAATTTCAATTGCTTCTTCCTTAGTATATCCACTGGAGCTAAAACTGGGGACTCTCAGAGGCTGAGAGTGACTTGGGCCACTTTCAGTTTTTAAGGCTTTTGATATACAGTCATGCGCCACATAACATTTGGGCAATGTCCAACTGCATATGTGTCCCTGGTCTCCAGGTTATGAACATCCAACTTATGTATAACCCATAGTTATGAACCAATCCTCTAAAGCCTATTATATTAAAAATTTAAGGTATATGCAATAGTTCATAACAAATGGGTGCTACTTTGCAATGCATATCAAAACATTATTACTCTATTATGTTAAGAGAAGTTTTAGTGTATCTGGAAGTGTTTGTTAATGTTTTTTATACATAGAAAGGTACACTATGTACTAAGACAAACATTTGACTGATGTTAGATATGAACCATACCTAACTGTTCCAACTTACGTACAAATTTGACTTAAAGACAGACTTAGGAATGGAACTTGTTTGTCCAGGAACTGCATGTACATAATACGGTGTTGGCACAGTGTCCAAATCGCATAACGCCCTATTTCACAGAACGTATTGTGGACATTAAGCGATGCATGACTGTATTTAAAATGCACTTCTCACAACACAATTATAGAGTAGGTGTTATCAATATTGTCATTTTATGGATGTAGAAATGGAGGCTTAGAAAAGTAATTAGCCCTAATTACACAGCTAGTCAGTGGTAGAACTGGACCCAATTGCTTCTCTACTAGCCTATACAGATGAACTGAAATTTCAGAAAGGAGAGGTGAGAGAACCAGTATTTGTTGTTTGCCTACTGTGTGCCAGGGGTTGTGCCCAGACCTACAGATATCTTGCTTGATCCCATGTGGTATGATTGCCTCTCTGTCTGGAGGTTCGGAGAGCCCTGGTGGTGCAGTGGGTAGGAGCTTGGCTGCTAACCAAGAGGTCAGCAGTTTGAACCCACCAGCCACTCCTTGGAAACTCTATGGGGCAGTTCTACTCTGTCCTTTCGGGTCGCTATGAGTCGGAATTGACTCGATGGCAATGGGTTTGGTGTTTTCTTTTTGCTGGAGGTTCAGGGAGATTAAGTACCTTGCCTCGGGTCACACAGCTCTTTCACACTGCAGAGCCAGGTTTTCAGTCGAGTATGTCTGTTTGTAGAACCCACTCATTTTTCGCTGTCATGTGCTGCCTTCCTGCCAAGGACTTGGCTATGTTGTGATAAAGAATCTTAGAAGAAATGTGTAACTCTAACCACCATGCCCCCCCAAATTTCTGGTTTATCACTTGTTTCTCCCCAGGGCCAGGTGGAAGAGTATCCTGAGGGAGATAAAAATAAAATTCTTGCTGTATTACTTCTCAACTAATTCTCATGTGGTTCTTTGGCTCTAAGTGGCTTCTTTCAGGGTGTTCCATTTGTTAATACCTAGTTGAGCAAAGACATAAGGCCGTTTGAGAGTCTTCATCTGTCTGGATTGGCTTCTCTGCCTCTTCATTATAAGAAATGTCCCTGACTCAGAGTCTTTCATTTTTCCTGCGTGCAGGAAGTTGCCGAGAATCAAAGTAACATATTCCAGAAACTTCAATTTCTTCATGGGAAAATGGCACCAACCAAATTCTGATTGATGACTCCAAATGCTGAGATGGGCAAATCATCCAAGTGACCAGATCCTAGAGATAAGTGCAAAAGAGAAGTTCTCCAAGTCCTGCCAGGGGGCAATATAGACAGCGAGGAGCCAGTCTCCTTCAGCTCACAGTAGCTTAATAGCTATTTTTTTCAAAAAGGAAACACAACTTTTGCCAGTGGAAGAAAAAATTAAAAAAAGCAGAATGAACAGATCGTTGGAACTGCCATACTGTTACAACTAAGATTGTTAGTCATGTGAGATGTAAAGATGGTCAGGATCCCAAATCCCTGAATCTTAGACTGGTAGGTACATCATATCGTAAGCTGTAAAAGACCTGGCAGTGAGGGGTTTGCTGAGAGAACAACTCAATTTTAGTTACAGTTGTCTAACTCCAGCTTCAGCAACAAAAAGCTGATAGAGGCAGGGACTGATTGTCTCATTCCTCAGGGGTCAAGGGACAGAATGTTTCCGTATGTTGGATTACTTTTCTGTAATTTAAAAAATTTCCTCTTCTTTGAAAAGAAAAAATGCCTAAATTTGAGGTCATTTTCTTTTGGGCCAATGTGGTAATTAATGCATCCCCCTGGGAAAGAGCAGTATGTTCTTCAGAAACCGTGGTGAGTTAGAGGCTGGAGTCCTGGGGCAGAGATGGCCAGAGATCAGCTCAGTGAGAAGCTACAGGCCCTGCCTATAAATAGCTCAACAGATGACATCAGACAAGTTTTGTCACCAAGCTAGTTCCTGCTCTTTAAAAATCTGGCTGTTGGGTAAACAGTAATGATTCAGTCCTTGTCAGCCCTGGATGAAAATTACATTGAAGGAGAGAATGTAGGAAAGGTAGGTTCTGCCTTTAAAAGACTAAAGATGGGGATTTTGTAGTTTTGGAGGAAAAAAAAAAAAAGCTATTATAAACAAAACATAGGTTACATGGAAGGTTTGGCAGTAAATTGATAGTTATGCTTTTGTGTAACAGTATCTTTGCAAATTAGGGTGGGCATATAAAATTCACATGTAGGTGAGATTACTGACACATGGAAGACACTCCAAGGCTAGATGGCAATCATGGTTGACTTTCATACTGGAGGAGGTTGGATAGGGAAGGGTGGTTCCTTAACTCAGCAGGGTAAAATGAAAATCGCACACAGTCAAAATCAACTTGAGTTACTCAGAAAGGGACCACACAGACGTAGGCAGCCCATGCCTCACTGGGTCCAGCACAGCCAGTTTCTCCTCCGGTGCAGGACAGACTGCTGTTTTTTTGGTTGACCACCAGATGAAGCAGTTGGCTGGAGTTTACAGGCCATATGCTGCATGAGAAATATTTAACTTTAAACATCGAAATCACCTCAGGGCAGGAAAATGCTTCCACAATGAGACCAGCTGGAAGGAGAGTGACCCAGGGAACCCCGGATTTAAGTTTCCCGATTCAAGCTCTGCTGATGTATGTGCTGAGTGGAATGGCCAACACAGCTGCTGGTGCATTTCAACTTCTCTGTCTTTACCCACCAATGGCCTAGAACTGCATTTGTGTTAAAATGCGTATATGCTACCACTCCACTAATAGAGCATCATATGCGTTCTCCATGTCATTGCCCAACCCTGCAATACTTAGAGCATGGAAAAGTATCCTTCTGCTCACAGGGGCAGGTTTTTGAGACTGAAATACAAGGCATATTTTGAAGTAGAAGACCTATGGGACAAGGGGAGTATCAACTGCTTCTTCTAAGGGTCAGAAGGCCATTCTGGAAAAGAACACAGAGACCAAAACTGACAGACATTTGTCTTTATTGTTGATGCCCATTGTCTTCGGAGGTCAAAGGCAATGGCACTGATGCACAGACTGGCTGTGGAACTCTCACTTGATTCCACACATTACAGAGGTGTAAGTCCTTGTGTTTTGGTCTTTACTTTTCCTGTTTATGTTTAAACATAATTTGAAAGCCAGGTTGACCCTTGTACTTTTCAATTATGTTAAGGTAAAATACTTATGATGAATACAATATGAGTTTTAAGTGCTTTTCCAGATCCAGCATCCTAAGTAATCACAGGCTTTAAGATTAGGTAAACATAAGCATTTAACTAAGACATGCACTTTATTTATGGAAGGGGAAATGGGTCTCATAAAATTTCTATGAAAACCATAGGATGTACCTTTTAAGAGGAGTTTATTATTTGAAAGGGTTAAAAGACACACAAAAAAGCCTACTTTTAAGCAAATCTATAATTTGAAAAGAAAATTTAAAACAATTCTGAGAGTGGTATATAGTTTCATAGTAGCCATAAGAACTTCTGGCAATTGGCTAATTTCTCTGAATCAGCTGGCATGTGTGGCTAAGAGCATTCCCATGAAAACCTTTATTAACCTTCACTCTTCCTTCCACAGGCCTTAGTCTTGATTTAAAATATGACTTCAGTAAGGGTGCAAACGTCCATGACCCATAGGGTTTCTATCAGCCACTTAGGCAGCAAGACTCTGGCAAACTCTAGGAACATGTAGACACACATCAGGGGTGAATTCCAATATCTTGGAGGTTTTTAGAAGATAAGTGAATATAGGTTTTCTCATCTGTTTTACATTTAAGACCTAGTTGGCTCATCATTCTCAGAAATAAACCTTCTCCTGGGTTAGGATATTTCATCATGAGACTTGAGATATACTGGTTTGGAAAGCCTCCTCAGTTTCTCCTGGCTTCGAAGTCCCCGACCTTGCAGTGGGGTAAGGCCCATTGGAGGCAGATGAATCTGAGTAACAATGAGAAAAATAATGATATTAATAATCATAATCACAATCATAGCAGCTTATATTCACTGACGGTTTACTATGTATCAGGCTCTTTGCTAAGCACTAAACCTATAAAAAAACCCATTGCTGTTGAGGCCATTCCGACTCATAGTGACTGTATAGGACAGAGTAGAACTGTCCCATCGGGTTTCCAAGGAGAGGCTGGTAGATTCAAACTGGTGATGTTTTGGTTAGCAGCCGGGCTCTTAACCACTGCCTCATTAATCCTTACAATCTTTACACACATTAATCCTTGCAATTATCTCATAAGGAATTATTATTCCAATTTTTGTAGATGAGAAAATGGAGGCTCAGAGGAGTTAAACAGCCTGCTCAAGGGTATATATTAAGTGGTGGAGCCAGGAGTTGAACTCAGATCTGATTCCAGTGCTTGGGCTCTTCTTTGCCATATTGCCTGCTTGGAGTTAAAAATGACCACAGATCACACAACAAGACAGGAATCCAAAGATGGGGGAAGTTTGGTTTTTTTGTTTATATATACTACATAATATGGATTTTGCATACTTGGGCATTTTACTTCTGAATGTCACATATGAAATCTCACACCTTCCTGCTCCATCCCGCCCAGGGACCACATTCACATGACTTTTATTACAGTATATTGTTATAATGTTTTTTATTAGTTATTGTTGTTAATTTCTTACTGTGCCTAATTTATAAATTAAACTTTATCATAGGTATGTATGTATAGGTCAAAACAGTATATATAGAGTTTGGTACCATCCGCTCATTTTGGGCATCCACGGGGGGTCTTGGAGCATATCCCCCGTGGATAAGGGGGGGACTACTGTAGTTAGCTATGCTGCAGCTGCAAGCCAAGGAACACCTGAGGCAACAGATGCTGGGAGAGACAAGCAAGAATCTTCCCTCAGAGCCTTAGAGAGCATGGCGCTGCCTACACCCTGATTAAGACTACTAGCCTCCAGAACTGAGAGGGAATAAATTTTTGTTGTTTAAAGCCACTCATTTGCTGGTGCTTGGTTATACAGCAGCTAGGAAACTAATAGGTGGTTGTTGTTAGGTGCCGTGGAGTCGGTTCTGACTCATAGTGACCCTATGTACAACAAAAAAAAACACTGCCCAGTCCTACGCCACCCTCACAACTGTTGCTATGTTTGAGCCCATTGTTGCAGCCACTGTGTCAATCCGTCTACTTGAGGGTCCTTCTACTGACCTTCTACTTTACCAACCATGATGTTGTTTTCCAGGAACTAGTCCCTCCTGATAATGTGTCCAAAGTACATAAGACAGAGTCTAGCCATCCTCACTTCTAAGGAGCATTCCGGCTGTACTTCTTCCAAGACAAAGTTGTTCTTTCATCTGCTAGTCCATGGTATATTCAATATTCTTTGACAACACCATAATTCAAAGGCATAAATTCTTCTTCAGTCTTCCTTACTCACTGTCCAGCTTTCGCACTCATGCGGGACAACTGAAAATACCATCGCTTGGGTCAGGTGCACCTTAGTCCTCAAAGTGATATGTCGCTTTTCAACACTTTAATAAGAGGTCTTTTGCAGTAGATATGCTGAATGCAATACGTCATTTGATTTCTTGACTGCTCCTTCCATAGGCATTGATTGTGGTTCCAAGTAAAATGAAATCCTTGACAACTTCAATATTTTCTTTATTTATCTAATACTGCTTATTGGTTCAGTTGTGAGGATTTTTGTTTTATGTTGAGGTGTAATCCATACTGAAGGCTGTAGTCTTTGATCTTCATCAGTAAGTGCTTCAAATCCTCTTCACTTTCAGCAAGCAAGGTTGTGTCATCTGCATACCGCAGGTTGTTAATGAGTGTTCCTCCAATCCTGATGCCACATTCTTCTTTGTATAGTCCAGCTTCTTGGATTATTTGCTCAGCATATTGACTGAATAAGTATAGTGAGAGGATGCAACCCTGACACACACCTTTCCTAATTTTAAACCACTCAGTATCCCCTTGTTCTGTTCTAAGGACTGCCTCTTGGTTTATGTACAGGTTCTGCATAAGCACAATTAAGTGTTCTGGAATTCCCATTCTTCGCAATGTTATCCATAATTTGTTATGATCCACACAGCCAAATGTCTTTGCATAGTCAATAAAACACAGGTAAACATCTTTCTGGTATTCTCGGCTTTCAGCCAAGATCCATCTGACATCAGCAATGATATCCCTCCTTCCACATCCTCTTCTGAATCCAGCTTGAATTTCTGGCAGTTACCTGTCGATGTACTGCTGGAACTGTTTTTGAATTATCTTCAGCAAAACTTCACTTGCATGTGATATTAATGATATTGTTCAATAATTTCCATATTCTGTTGGATCACCTTTCTTTGGAATGGTCACAAATGCGGATCTCTTCCAGTCGGTAGGCCAGGTAGCTGTCTTCCAAATTTCTTGGTATAGATGAGTGTGTGCTTCCAGAGTTGTATCTGTTTGTTGAAATATCTCAACTGGTATTCCGTCAATTCCTGGAGCCTTGTTTTTTGCCAATGCCTTCAGTGCAGCTTGGACTTCTTCCTTTAATACCATTGGTTCTTGATCATGTGCTATCTCCTGAAATGGTTAAACATGGACCAGTTCTTTTTGGTACAGTGACTCTATTCCTTTCATCTTGCTTTGATACTTCCTGTGTTGCTCAATATTTGCCCATAGAATCCTTCACTATTGCAACTGGAAGCTTGAATATTTTCTTCCGTTCTTTCAGCTTGGGAAATGCCGAGTGTCTTCTTTCCTTTTGGTTTTCTAACTCCAGGTCTTTGCACATTTCCTTATGATACTTTACTTTGGCTTCTCCAGCTGCCCTTTGAAATCTTCTGTTAAGCTCTTCTACTTCATCATTTCTTCCTTTTGCTTTAGCTACTCTACTTTCAAGAGCAAGTTTCAGGGCCTCTTCCGACATCCATTTTGGTCTTTTTCTTTCTTTCCTGTCTTTTTAATGACCTTTTGCTTTCTTCATGTATGATGTCTTTGATGTCATCCCACAACTCGTCTGGTCTTCGGTCATTAGTGTTCAATGCATCAGATCTATTCTTGAGATGGTCTCTAAATTCAGGTGGGATATACTCAAGGTCGTACTTTGGCTCTCATGGACTTGTTTTAATTTTCTTCAGCTTCAGCTTGAACTTGCATATGAACAATTGATGGTCTGTTCTGCAGCCTTATTCTGACTGATGATATTGAGCTTCTCCATCATCTCCTTCCACAGATGTAGCTGATTTGATTCCTGTGTATTCCATCTGGTAAGGTCCAGGTGTACAGTTGCTGTTTATGTTGTTGAAAAATGGTATTTGCATCATTGCAAATACATCTGTCATTGGTCGTGTAAAATTCTATCATGCAATCTCCAGCGTAGTTTCTATCACCAAGACCATATTTTCCAACTACTTACCCTTCTTCTTTGTTTCCAACTTTTGCATTCCAGTCACCAGTAATTATCAGTGCATCTTGATTGCATGTTTGATCAATTTCAAACTGCAGAAGTTGGTAAAAATCTTCAGTTTCTTCAACTTTGGTGTGTAAATTTGAATAACAGTAGTATTAACTGGTGTTCCTTGTAGGTGTATGGATATTATCCTATCACTAACAGCACTGTACTTCAGGATAGATCTTGAAATGTTCTTTTTGATGATGAATGCTACACCATTCCTCTTCAATTTGTCATTTCCTGCATAGGAGACCATATGACTGTCTGATTCAAAATGGTCAGTATCAGTGCATTTCATTTCTGCTTACTAATGCCTAGGATACCAATCTTTATGTGTTCAATTTCATTTTTGAAGACTTCCAATTTTTCTAGATTCATACTTTGTACATTCCACATTCCAATTATTAATGGATGTTGGCAGCTGTTTCTTCTCATTTTGAGTCATGCCACATCAGCAAACAAAGGTCCTGAAAGCTTTACTCCATCCACATCATTAAGGTCAACTCTACTTTGAGGAGGCAGCTATTCCCTGGTCGTATCTTGAGTGCCTTCCAACCTGAGGGGCTCATCTTCCGGTATTATATCAGACAATGTTCTGCTGCTATTCATAAGGTTTTCACTGGCCAATTTTTTTATAAGTAGATCACCAGGTCCTTCTTCATAGTCTGTCTTAGTCTGGAAGCTCAGCTGAAACCTGTCCACCACAGGTGATCCTGCTGGTGTTTGAAATACTGGTGGCATAGCTTCCAGCATCACAGCAACACACAAGCTACCACAGTATGGCAAACTGACAGACAAGTGATGGAGGAAACTAATATAGGGGAGGAAAAAAGTGTGTGTAAGCAAAGATGTTCAGTGCGTAGTAGAAAACTGGAAACAACATTAATGCCTACTAATAGGGAGCTAAGGAGCCCTGGTGGCACAGTGGTTAAGAGCCTGATTACTAATCAAAAGTTCGGCAGAATCCATTAGCTGCTCCTTGGAAACCCTATGGGGCAGTTCAACTGTGTCCTATAGGGTCACTATAAGTCAGAATCAACTTGATGGCAATGGGTTTGATTTTGGGTTTAATAGCAAGCTGAGGGAGCCCTGGTGGCACAATGGTTAAAGCACTCGGCTGCTAACAGAAAGGTCGGCAGTTGGACCCCACCAGCTGCTCCGAGGGAGAAAGATGTAGTAGTATGCTTCCACAAAAATTACAGCCTTGGAAACCTGATGGGGCAGTTCTACTCTGTCCTGTAGCTTCACTATGAGTTGGAATTGACTTGATGGCAACGAGTAATAGGGATCTGGTTAAATTATAGCACATCCATACGATAGTGTACAGTGAAACTATTGAAAAAGAGTGACGTAGAACATAAAGATGTCCAGAATAAATCAAGCAAAATAAACAGACAACAAAACAGTATGCCTAATATGAACCTAGATATGTCAAGAAAATGTATGTATATGAGTATAAAAAAGACTAAAAGGATATATTACCAAACTATTGTGTTGAACCAATACAATATGAAATTGCTGTTTTTGTATGTCAGAGAGTTGAATACTGGTGATTTCTTATGGTCCAACCTCATAGTTGTAGTGGTCACTTTTGTAGGGTGAGGATTTTGCCAATTTCCACTTTCTACTTTATGCATTCCTTTAATGTTTGAAGTTTATTATTTTATTACAACAAGCCTAGCTTTTATAATAAGGAAAATGAGAACATTTTCATAAAAAGGGCACAGGTTAAGAGAGAATGCTGTATGTTTTGTTTACATGGGAACGTTGTACAGGTAGGAGAAGCCAGGCTTTCACTGACATTGCAGTTTGTTGCAATGCTTGGTGGTATGCAAGATAGCTTATTTCCAACATGCCTCCTATAGTAGCTCTACGCTTCTTGCAAGCATGAGCCCTCTCTGTACACATTCTTGGAAACAGCCAGGTTGAGAAGGATTAGTACCCACCCCATGTTAACTAGAGTCACACTTACTGGCCTTGGATAAGGAATCTGGTAATGCAATCCAATCTCAATCCTTGCTGTGCATTCGTCTGTACACTGTTTAATCAGGTCTGCGTCTGTGAGCTAGTAACAGAAGAAAACAGGTGAGGCTGTTAGTATTTTTGTAATGCTACATAAAGAATGTTGTTGTTGTTGTTAGGTACCTTGGAGTCAATTTCCACTCATAGTGATGCCATTTGTTAGAATAAAACTGCCCATAGGGTTTCCTAGGCTGTAATCTTTATGGGAACAGACTGCCAGGTCTTTCTCCCGTGGAGCTGCTGGGTGAGTTTTGAACCACCAACCTTGCAGTTAGCAGCTGAGAGCTTAATCGTTGTGCCACCAGGGCACCTTACATAAAGTATAGGTGTACGTTTTCTGAAACTTTTTCAATTCACTAGCCACTAAATTAAATATTGATAATTTGAAAAATCAACAGCAATTTAATAAATAAATTTACTGTGGATTAAAATTTTAAAAATTGTTGAAATAGGTAATACATGAACATCGTAAAACTAATTCAAATAACACAAAGAATGCAGCATGGAAAATAAGTTTCCCTCTTACCCGTCCCTCAGTTCCCCTTTTCACAGACAACAATTATCAGCAGTTTCTTGTGTGTCCTTCCAGGGATATTCTGTGCATATATAAGCATACACATATAGACAGACTTTTGTTTTTCTTACGTTAATCACAGCTTACTTTGTTCTGAGCCTTGCTTTTTCACTAACAATATAACCTGGAGCCCCTTGTATATTCACACATACAGAGTTGCCCCACTCTTTTTAACAGCTGCACAAAATTCCAATGTAAGGCTGCAACCCCCAACTGACAGACATTTAGGTTATTTACAGTCTTTTGCCATTACAAACAATTCTGCTATGGATCTCTGTAAAAATTGTTTTTGTGCTCATCTGCAAGTATCTAAAGATAAATTTCTAGAGAGAGATCTGCTGGATCAAAGGGTGTGTGTTTACGCATTTTGAATTCTGGCAAATATTCCCAAATTACCATCCAGAGGTTACACCAATACTCCCATCAAAAATGTATAACTTTTTTTGCCCACTTAAACTGTATATAAGAGTGCTTCTCTACACCCTCTCCATGTTGATTCAGTTCTAAAGTAACCAAGTTGTTTCAGCATATGCTGTCTAGAACCCCCGAGTAGGCTACTGCAGAATGCTCCATCTTTCATTTTGAACTATAAACTGCCTTGCTCATTGGTTAAGGGGAAGAAAAGGATTTTGAAATTCCAAATTAGTCAACGCATGGACGTCTAGTTTCAAGTGAAGGGATGAAAAATTCATTCTGAAGAACAGAAAGCCAGGTAGGATTAGGGGGAGAAGCACTTTCATGCCAAGGATGAAAAATGAGCCAACACATGGCTCTGCTAAGGGTTGCCAAGTGGGTCTCAATGCAGAGCCAGGATTCCATCAGCCCCAGATGACACCCACAGTGAAGTCTGGGCCTGTGTGGCTTGAAAATTCCAAGAGCATTCCTGTCCTCTGGTACCTCTTGGAGCAGAGAAGAGTTCCAGGAACAGCAGTGCACAGAACTAGAACTGAGTCCCTTGCGGCAAAGGCTCAACTCTCTGACCTATGTGCTTCTCAGAAGCTGTTGCTCTCATGTCCACCTTGGGAATACGTTTCCATGTTCCCATTGGCCCATTGGGTTTCAGAGCAATTCATAACACATCTTTGGATTATTAAGGTCTTACAGTGAGTGAGGTGACGAGAAGCAATTTATGTCTGTATCAGGATTGGGGAGAAGGGAGAAGCCCCTGACAAAGATATGGTTAAGGAGGATTGTTGGTGGACGGGGGGTGGGGGTAAGAGTGGGGGGGTGGATACAGGACTGGGGTTCCAGCTCTCCATCTGAACAAGCTTGGGCTAGAGTTCTCCAAACTTCAGTCACTCCTGGGCTGCTTGCATGATTTTACCATATCTATATACTGCCTATACTAATATTTTTCTTTAAATGATTCTCTCTTAAGCAATAATATTTCTGAAATTGTGGTCTGATATTTTATTTTCCTTCTGATACATGATAAAACAAGTATATATCTTAATAGTAAATTAAAATCCACGTACCCCCGACCCCAAATAATTTCATATACTATCAGTGGTATCCACACCTCCCACTACACTAGCTCACACTACCTTGGGCTAATCCAAGCAGAGGCAAAGGAATGATTCTTATAATAACTGAAACCCAAAGGGTCTCAAGCAATTCTCAGGTGAGCTTGGTCGCAAGAGTTTACTGGGCACTTACTATGATATTCCCCCTACCAGGCTGGACACTGTGAGGCCATGTTCCCTGCCTTCAACTATCAAGGTTATTACCTGATATATGAAGCTACAGAAAAGGCACGGTGGCATAACATAATCAATGAGGGCAATGACTGGCATAGACTGCTATAGGAATTCAGAAGAGTTAGCCATCATGGGGTGGGGCTGGGGGAGGGCAGAGAAACTGAGATAGACTTCCTAGAGCAGGTCAATCAAATCGAAGTATTTGTAATACTCGTTAATTTAGTGACGACCACAAGGCAGGTCCCATAGGATATACGAGAGAAGCACAAGACATTGTCTATGTGCTTAAGCATTTAACAACCTGGTTAAAGAGACCAGGCCAACATAAACAAAACAAAGAATAAGAAAAAGAGAATATGATCAACTACTTAGGGGTAGGTATAAGTCAGTGGCTCCCAAACTTTTTGATGACGTACTCCTTTCAATAAAAAATTTGAGCCCAGAGTTGCCATATATGTATTTATACTAATTTATAACTTAGCTTATTGATTTATAAATTACCTATATGGATTAATAAATGCATTATAAAATATATACAAAATACATATTTTTAAAGGATGAAATAAAAAAATTAATAGAAATAACAGTTACACCTTTTTTCCATTCCTCAGGGGAATGATTGTTTAAGGACCTCATGGGTATGCACACTGGTTGGGCATAAGCCATCTACACTAAGAAGAGACAAAGTTTGGGGAAGTTGGAGGAGGGTGAGAAAGGCAGAGGGAAGCTTCAAAAGCCAGTTGACCTTAAAAAGCAGGGAGGCTTCAGGGATTCAGAGAAGAAAGGGAAGGTACCGTAGATTAGGAGTGTTTCTTTTGCAGTGCTTGTCCCAATTGTAATTTCACAGTCAATTCCATCTACCTCTGAAAACAAGAAGCCCTGATGGCACAATTATTAAGTGTTTGGCTGCTAACTGAAAGGCTGGAGGTTTGAATCCACCCAACAGCTCTGCGGGAGAAAAGACCTGGTAATCCTCTTCTGTAAAGATTATAGCCTAGGAAACCCTATGGGGCAGTTCTACTCTGTCCTACAGGATCACTATGAGTTGGAATTGACTCAATGGCACACAACAACAACCACCTCTGACCCTGTCTTGGTTTTGTTCATTTTTAAATCCCCAACATCTAGTCCGGTGTTTGGTATATGGTGGGCACTCACATACTTGCTGAATGAAAGAATGAGAGCAAAAACTTGCAGAGTGGTGAAGAAACTATGGTAGAAATGGGCAAGCTGGGGAGTGGAGGAGCTCCTGCAGAAAGATGAGTTCTGCTTTGGGCCATCATGTTTGTGGTGAGATGTTTCAGGCGGCTGGTGAGAAGCTGAGGCTGGGTATTCAGATGTGAAAGGTGAAACCATAAGGTGGTTGCTCCTTCTGCAGGCCTCAATGCGGACGACTGACCTTCAGAGGACCCTACAGCTGGCAGGAGGGTGTGTGGAGCAGACACTGCCCAAAAGGAGACAGAGATGGGGGTCAGAGAGGAAAAAAAGTCAAGAGAATAGACTGTCGGGAAGTTTCACAAGGGGAACAGTGGCAGCATTTATTCCATTAGATCAATGAGAAGGAGGCTGAAGAAAGGTCAGGAGCTGAAAGCCTCTTTCCATGCTTGGTGCCAGACAGTCTTTATAAGGAGCTAATAGCTAATGCTTTACGGTTTGTTGGAATGGGTCAAATCGAGCCTCTCAGAAATGGTTTCTGGCTCCCTGGTCTCTGGGTGTAGAATTTGGTTAAACCAGCTAATGGAGGCACTATTTTACCCAATTCTGTGGTCTCAAAGGGCCAACTCACTCTGCTAGCCAAAGAGGCTTGAGTTCAAAGCTACACTGTGAAGGGAACCCTGTGTCTCAATCCTATTCTCTTCCTGCTGAATGTGTTTCTATTTGGAGGCTTTGAATAGTTTATGAACTGAAAAAAAAAAAAATGTAATTGCACACCTCCTGTGGGAGTGGCTGGCAACAGGCTCAGTGTGAGGAACAGCTCCGCCTCGGAAAACTCGCATCGGCCTAGTGGTCACCTGGCTCCCGGGGTCTTCTGAAGACACTGAGCCACTTGTCCACTGGGCTGAGATCTGGAACACGTCAAGAGAGAAACATAGGCTGGCTCTACTTTCCAGTGGCTGCGCAAGCTAGCTAAGCTGGGCATCCAGCCCCTTCCTGGCCTACTCTCTGCCACCCTGACTTGTGTTGTTCAATCCTCTCATTTTTAGGACAGAGAAGAAATGAAAAAACACCACAAGAAACTGCCCCCCTCCTTGCAAACTCCAACTGGGGTCTACTTACATTTTTGTTTTTCTGGAACAGTGTTCTGGCTTCATTTAATATGTACTGTCTTTCTTTAATGGTGTCTTCTATCTGTCCTGATGCCGCCTGCCATTTCCTCGCGAGCCTGAAAATTCTGCGGTAGAGGCCAAGAACTTCTTGTCGTGTGGCTGTTGTCATCTTCAGGCCCACCAAAATAGAAGAGGGAAAATTTACATAAAAATTTAATTTGAGGGTAGGCAGCTAGGCAGATGTACATTTTTTTTTAATCAAGCTCTTTAATTAGTCTAGAAATAATTGCTCTTTCTCAACAGATCTGTTTGGTAGCATTGCCAGAACGGTGTAGTAGGAACACCAGCTATCTCTCAACTAGCTGTGTTCATCCTCCCAAGGTTGAGGATTGCTCAACAGTGCTGTTTGCCATGACAGTCAATTTTACAAGCACAGCAAAATGAAAATTCACATTTACTGTTCTTTAAGCTCTTACTAGAATACCTTAGAACTGAAGCTTTAATGTGTAGTCTGTAATCTGAGTGCTTAGCAGAAGGGACCTTGTGGATAACTGAATTTCCTAGTTAAGTGAGAACTGGAATTTAATGCAAACTCAAGTACCTCTGGGTGCCTGGCAGGTAACATAAATGAGGGAACCTGGCTGGGTGGGGACAGAGGCCCACTGGAGAGGACAGGCTGCCTTGAAAGGGAACAGTTGCTACTCAGCTCCAGCCAGCTGCTGCCATGTGGAAATGAGGGCCTAGGGATGCCAGATTTCCTGACAGCTTGAGAATAGATGGCAATCCAGATTTTTTAAAATGAGAAATCTCCTGCTGTTGTTGCATGCAGCCGAATCGATTCCAACTCATAGTGAACCTATAGGACAGAGTAGAACTGCCCCATAGGGTTTCCTAGGCTATAATCTTTATGGGAGCAGAAAGCCAGGTCTTTTCTTTCGAGGAGCCACTGGTGGGTTCGAATCGCTGACCTTTAGGTTGGTAGCCAAGCACTTAACCATCGCGTCACCAAGGCTCCTTTTGAGAAATCTCCTAAAAGACAATAATTCGTTATTTTTGAAAATGTGAGCACTATACAGGCCAAACCAAATGAGTCTGTAGGCTCAGCTTCATCTAGAGGCTGTCAGGTTGCAACCTCTCTTCTAATTCACCACAGCCTTGTGGGAAATTATTTCTCAAAACTGTCAGTCTACTTTCTTGTCCACATAAGAGCTGGACAATAAATATGACTGAAAATCTTTCTGATCACTGAAGATCTTCTGGCCCCTCTGGGGTTTTCACCCTGAAAGATTGGTTTTAATTTCAGAGGACTTGGCTGAATGTGAACTAAGTATATTCCCTAAACCTATTTTGATTTTTAAAAATAAAATTCCTGTCAGTTTTCACTTATTTCTATTATAAAATATTTCAGATATACAAAAATATTTCAGATGTAGAGAATAATATAATTAACAGCCACATATCCACCACAGACCTTAAAGAATAAATTACATACAGAGTTGAAGTCTCCATTTAACCCTCTGTAATCATATTCTCCTCTACTTCTAGAAGGAATCACTATCCTGATTTGTTTATTATTCTCACACATATCTTTATACTTTTTATAAAGTATTGCTTTACAAGGTTTAAAAACTTTATACATAAATGGTATTATATTCTTCTGCAACTTGCTTTTTTTTTGCTCATATTAGTAAGATTCATCTATATTGTCACATGTAGCTCTAGTTCATACATTCTCATTGTTGCACATCAGTCCACTGTATAAAGATACTCCAATATAATTGTCTATTTTCCTGTTGATGGATATTTAGTTTTTTGTTTAACTTAAGGAAAAATTTCTGCCTATTTCCTTACTATTTACTTCTACATCTAAAAGTAGCTTAGAGAAAACAGATAAAAAAGTCTCATTACTGCAGGAATCTGATTAGTCAGATGTAGAATAATGGATACTGAACTGCTTTTAACAAACAGGCAGGCTGGGAAGACAAGGGGAACAGACATGGTGAGTGAGTAGTGGGGCCAGGCACTTGGACACCTCATTATGAATCCCAGGTATTCCTCAAACAGGCTCATCAGGATGGGGACGTAGGCTGCTCACTGCTGTTTGGAATCATGACCCGCTTCCAACCCAAGAGGAAGGCGTAATATCTGGTGGCTGTATGCTTTAGGGTGGTCCTGAGCTTATAACAATTTGGGCAGCTAAAGAATGCAGCTGGAAACTGGAAGGAGGTGTGTTTATCTAGAAATTCTAAGTACCATAACCGTAAGGAATTCCCCTTGCAGAGACTATCTTTTTCAAATCTGATTGCTCCTCCTACTTATCCTGACCCTGGTGATCTTTCTTGAGGCTTAACCATTTGATGAAAGGCTTGAAAGCACTACTTCACCCAATTCAAAAGTTTAAAGGACCAAAGTTATATTTAACACCAATTCGGAAGTCTATTATGCTTCACAGAAAGCGTTTTTAAAAGAAATTCATAAAAACCAAGTGAGAACATCATGCTTTGTGGCTGATTCTAATAAAAAACCAGATGAGATGATGCCATTTTTCCTGTTAAGGAAACAGGTTTCGGAGTTTCTGGATCTTCCTAAACTCCACGGTTTCACATGAAAATATGTGAATCAGTTCCTGTGAGGGGTAGGGAGTCTGTCACTAATATCTTTTAATGATTGCTTCACTTCCCTGTCATTAACAGATGACACTTCCTTGACTGCACGACCTGTGAGGAGGAAAATGAAGAAGGTCTGGCATGTTAAGACAGCAGCAACCTTCTCCAAAGCCTGACTTTAACCGGTTTCCTTTGACTACTCTAAGAACCACAGCTTAAACTGTAACTGACCATATACCATAATCTGATACACAAGGCCTGCAATTAGAATTAACAATTGGTACTTAATAGGACTATTTTCAAAACACTTTAATTATGTCTAAGTGTTTTGAAAACTAATCCTGAAACGGAGATAAGTGATGTTTTTCTCTCCAGCATCAGGTGACTCAGAAAATTCAAGTCCAAAGACTTCCAGACAGAAGGGTCTACAGCGTATTCCCCATTGGGGACTATTAACAAGTCTAGCCTACGAGTTCCTTCCAAGTCTTGAGAGAAAAGGCAAGAAAAATGTTTCTTTTGTTCTTTCTTTATTGGATTCCTTTTGGTTCTTTGAGGGAACCATGTTCTTTCTTGCCTTGGGGGCACATACCCATGCTGTTTCCTCTTTCTAGAAGGTTCTCCCTCAAACTCGTTTCACCTGACCAACCCTTACTCATCCTTTAGATTCCAGTAAAAGCATGGATGTCTCAGGAAATCCTTCCCGCCTCCCCTCTCCCCCAACCATACCCACTGTTGAACCCTCCCACGGCTCCCTGTGTTTCTTCTTTGTAGTGCTCATCACTTGTGTTGTTACTGTTGTTAGGTGCCCTTCAGTGGATTTTCAACTCACAGTGACCCCATGTGACAGAGTAGAACTGCCCCATAGGGTTTTCCAGGCTGTAATCTTTAAGGGAGGAAGTTGCCAGGTCTTTCTCTCGAAGAGCTTCTGGGTGGGTTTGAACAGTCAACCTTTCGGTTAGCAGCCAAGCGCTTAACCATCGCACCACTAGGGCTCCTTCATCACTCATATACTGACTTGTTGATGTCTTCCCCCAAAAGACCCTAACCTTTGTGGAAACAGGAACCACATCCCTCTTATTTACTGCTGAATCCTCAGCACCGAGTAAGGTGCTTGGCACATAGCTGGTATTCAACAAATGTTTGCTGACCAAACGAACTATCTGTTACTACAGAAAGCTGGTGCTTCTAGAAACTGAATCAGCCATATATAAAAAAATGAAAAAGATCTTTCCCTTTTGGCTTCTATTTTTTGTCTTTGCCCATAGAAAACAGCTCACTTAGAAAAACTGCCTTTTCCCGAAGCGTTTTCCTTCTGATGGATTTAATGGCTTGAAACCAACATTCTTCCTCTGAAACGATCAATTATCTCTCACTATTCATTTGAGGCTGAGGCATCCATTTTTCCCCCTTCACTAGGATCAGGGGGTTGAGCTGATGCAATGGGGTGTGCTGGGATTTTCCCACAGGTTACATCAGGAATATTCAATTGTTTAGAGGACCACAACAGAACTTGAGTCTTATCTGGCCATAAAGTTCACTCTTATACCATTTTTACAGTTAATGTTTTATAACTTTTATTCTAAGATTGACACTTCTTGAAACTCTTTGCTTTTTTTTTTTTTTTTTTTTTAAATCTTCTTAACCCCCAAATCCCAGAATGAGGAAAGACAAAAGATACGAGGTGAGCCTGGAAACTGGTCTTTTATTAAAATCACACCTCATGTATGATTTTACACGATGCAGTGCTGAGATGAAATTCATTACCAAGCGCCTACTGTGTGCAAGCCTGTGCCACTAAGAAAAGGCTGACATTGCTGAGAGTGCATGTGGCCTCTGGTCATAGTCAGAAGAAGTTTCCCCTAATGCAGATGCCCCAAAGATGGGTTGAGGAGGTGATTTTAGATGTACAAGATAAATATTTATTCTATTGAATGTTATTGTTTTAATGTGTATTAGAATAAAACAGTCCATCAAACCCATGAATTAGATGGATATATTTGTAGTGACAAAGAGCTTCCTTTAAATAAATGTATTTAAACTTTTTTTTTAAGTCGATTTAAAATAGAGATAAAATTTCAAAACAGCCAAAATTTTGACAGTGGACTCTGAATAACAGCAGTTTGGGAGCTACTGCTCTAAGGCACTCTGGTGTCATGCCTGGTGTTTGTCCTGGCTGAGCCCTCCATTTGGAATGTCTCTTTTCTGCCACCCACCCCACCCCACCCCACCAAGTAAACACCTATTTACTATGAAGCTTTTTGGAGGACCCCCACCTTCTATCACAGCCCAGCTACTGCTCTTTTGCTCTTATTTCATTACACGTCTCTTTAGTCCCAGAGTCTCTGAATTCCTTGAGGGCAGGGACTGTGCCTTATTATAGTAATAATAATGATGATATGAGGAGCCCTGGTGGTGCAGTGGTTAAGCGCTCACATGTGAACCAAAAGGTGGACGGTTTAAACCCACCAGTTGCTCTGTGGGAGAAAGATGTGGCAATCTGCTTCTGTAAAGACTACCGTCTTGGAAACTCTATGGGGTGGTCACACTGTATCCTGTAGGGTTA